GCCGCCGTCCGGCTCCCCGGCCCCCCAAACAAAGGACCCGCCGGGTCCTAGTGCCCGCTTCTTCCGCTATCCTTGCGCCTCTGGGTCCTAGCGCCGGCTCACCGCACGCTGCCCATCCTGTCCACCTTTTTTGCTTCAGCTCGTGCTCTATACTTACCCCCCACATCTGCCGGCCTTTTTCTTTCTCCTTGCCTACTAGTCTCTGGCCTCCGCCCCTCCTGCACCTGCCTCTAGCTTTGCCCATTTGCAACAGTCCTCTCCACGTGTTTTCCTGCACCCCACTCCATTGCCCCCCTCTAAAGCCCCTTGTTCTTTTGCCTTCTGCCTTACACCTCTTGCACCTTTTGGGGGTTTGCCCGCGGGTTACGGTGCTCTGGGACACCCGCCCCTCACCTTACACGCCAGTTTTTCCGTCTGTCCGCTCGTCCATCCATCCATCCATCCTCCCACACTCCTTCCCTCATTCCGTTTGTTCATCTCTTTCTGACCCTCTGCCCTTTTCTGGGCCTCTTGCCCTGACTCTGGGCTCTTCCTGGACCCCCACCCTCTCTAGGTCTCTGAGTGCCATTAGAGAACCAGCCACCAGCCCCTTCCCCTGATCTTTGTCTCCCGGCCCCCAGAGGGCCTCTGACTTGGTGATCCTTGGGGGTGACAGCGGGCGGGCACCCTGAGAAGTCCCCGAAGAAGTTCGCCAGTGAGAGGCTTTGGAGGAGGAGAGCGCGTGGAGCGGTCTCTCACTGCACTTGCTCTCCCCGGGGACTTGCAGCTCCGGCCTGTCAGTCACTCCCACATTTGCATTTCACGGAGGCTGGCAGGAGAGCTGCCCCGTCTCCCGTCCGCCCAGCCCACCACCCTTCCTCTCCGGAGATGAAATTGGACTGTCAGCGACCTCACCCTATACAGGGGCAAACCTGCACTTGGACATCAGAGAGCGAACCTGAATGGGAGCCCCGGCCACCCTGGGACTGCCCCGCTCTGGGTGGGCAAGGATGGGGCCATTGTCGGGTCTGGGTGCACTGAGCACCGGAAATGGAATCAGACGGGTTTGGTGACTCAGAATTGATTCTCTCCCCCCACCACCACCACTAGGGACAGGGAGGGGGCGTACAGGAGGGAGGGAGGGCTGGGGGAGGGGGGGAAAGCTGCTTTGCACAGCTAAGGTGTTTTTGCAGTCAAGCCAGAAACTGAGGTACAAGGGCAACCCTCTTCCAAAGCCCTCCCTTAAGGAGAGGCTTGTGCCACTGACCAAGGAGTCTTTGAAGATGCTGAAAAGGCCCTGGGGCAACAGGCTCTCTGTGGCTGCGTTGTCAGTGCAGGCCCTGAGAAGCTGGGGCAACTTTGACCATGCTGTGTACCCCCCCCCCCCCGGAAGCAAGACTGAGTTTGGGGGAAGGGCCTGGGAGAGGCTCTTATGTGGGGTGCTACAGCATAGCTGAAAGGACCTGTCGGAGATAGCTCATGAAAGGATTCGGGGATCGATTGTAGAATTTGCCAACACCCGTTTCTCCTTAAATGGGAAAGCAGGCCCAGAATAGAGGGGATTAGTTCCCCACAGTCACCCCACTAGTGAGCAGTGCCCCCCCCCTGTCTCCCTTGGAGTGAATGGCCTGTAAGAAAAATGGCCAGGTCCCTCTGAGGTGGCTGTTGAAGGAAGGCAGGCACTTGACAGAGACCCACTGAAAGACCCTCCAAGGGTCCCCAGCAACAGGAGCTTGTCATTTGTCAAAGGGGTAGGATTCACACCACCCACCGTTAGGGCCTGAGGGTGGAGAGGGGAGAGGGCATCTGGGGCATAGGGTGGGCCTTCTGAACTGCATTTCTCCCCCAGGGGCTGAGTTGGAAGAGAATAGCAAAAACAGGAAGAAGTTGGATGCCATGACCCTCATTAAAGAAGGTGGGCGTTGACACACACGTTAGGGTCAGTGCACTTAGAACCCTACCAACCAAAATAGAGAAAGTGGCAGCTGCATAGAGCTGCGTGGAGAGCCTCACTTTGCTAGGTCCAGGTCAGTCCGTTTCCTGTGAGATGCTAATCATAGGGGGTCAGTGCCCACTCACCTACAAGCCCAAGCTCTAGAGAGAGCCCTTCACTTCCCATGGGGGGGGGGGCCTTTGGCGGGTGGGCTGGGTGTGACTCCAGACCTTATTGGGGAAACCCGGGGCCCTCCGCCCCAGTGACGAGGGCGTCTATCATTGCAGACATGTCCATCTTCGGGCACTGCCCGGCCCAGGACGACTTCTACTTGGTTGTGTGTAACCACTGCAGCCAGGTGGTGAAGCCGCAAGCTTTCCAGAAGCACTGTGGTGAGGGGGCACCTCAAAGGGGTCGGGCAGAGGGAGGTGGGAACCCAACTCTGAGGGCAGGGCCTGGTGGGAGGTCATATGCGGTCCTAGAGGGAGGCAGGTCCGGGGGGTGGGGAGGTGGGGGTTCCTCATCTGAGCAAACCTGTAGCAGCTAGGAGACTCCAGGAAAGGGCTCTGAGGTCTAGGCTGTTGAGTCTTTGAGATGTACACGGAATGAGGAGGAGGGAGGCTGCAAGCTCCGGGTGGAGACACAGTTTCTCCCACCTGGGTGACTGGGCAGGGGTAGTAGCCATTGAGCCCACTCACCTCCGTTACTCTCTCCACCTCCCGGTGACAGAAAGAAGACATGGGCCCCTCAGCAAGCTTTACGCCCGGGCCCCACCTCCCCCTCCAGCCCCCGCCAGCTCCCAGAAATGCCATGTAGTAAATGGGCAGGGACCAGCTTGTAGGGCCCCAGGTTCCACCAGAACCTCCTCGAGGGAGAAGGGCCAGGGGTCCCGGAGCCGTGGCCACCAGCCTCCGGAGCAGACCCAGAAGGACAACCTCTGGTAAGGAGAGGCCATCCCCGATCCTAGCCCAGGGAGGGGTTTGCATGGACCCCAGGCCGAGAGACAGCCAGCCCGATCTGCAGTCTTTGTGCTCCAGGGGCCGAGGGGTGTGTGCTCACCATGTTCTGCAGCCCTGCTAGAGTCCACCCAAGTTTCCTGGGCCGGAAAGGAGCTAGCTCTGGCCCAAGTCCAGGCCCCAGGCCCAGCCGCGCCACCCCCCAGCTCCCGTCCTCTCTCCCCGAGCAGCCTTTTCATGCCTGTGGTGAATCTGGAGAAGATGTCCAGTCTCCCGAAGCCCGATGGACAAGGAATCAGGGTGGCCCCACCCTCAGCTTTCCTTAGCCAGCCTGGCGGCCCCACCAAGGACTCCCCAGGGAAACCCCCCACAGCACCGCCTCCTAAAGACCCCCTGGGCAGGGAGAGCAGCGGAGCAGCCCCCAGCGAAGGCAGCGCCCCTGAGAAGGAGCCTGCTGGGGCCAGATTGACCCCGAAAACCCATCGGAAGATGGCTCGTGAGTAGTCATGGTTTCGGGGTCAGGGAGATGGAATGGGGTCTCCTGGACTACGTTGTTCTTGAGTCAGGTGGGGAGGTCAGGAAGCCCCTGAAGATTTGGTAGGCCCCCTGTCACCCTTAAATGTGGACATGTACTTGACCTGCTTGGTCTCTGGGAAGTTTTTCTCAACCCAGTCATCTGGTCATGGCTAAGGGCACCTGTGCCCAGCAGGTGCAGTGACTTTCACAGGCTGCTCACCTGCCAGGATTCCGCGCACCTGACCCCTCTCACAGCTGGATTCCTTGGCATCCCAGATGCCTGCAGCTGCTTTTGTTTCTTGATACGCATGGCCCTGCTGCCCTGCTCTGGGCTTGGAGAATTCCTAAAGGCATGCCAGGAGCGGGTGGCCAAAAGAGTCTCTGGGGAAGGCCGCAGGCCCAGAGGGCAGGGGTCCTTCTGCCTTAGCTCCCGTCCTTCCCAGGCCCGTGACAGGAAGTGAGCAGCTCTTCCTGGATGTGGCCTTGTAGTTGATGGGAACCGCTTCTCCACAGGGAAGGAGTGTGATCTCAACAGGCAGTGTGGCGTAGTGAATCCAGAAACCAAAACGATCTGCACCCGCCTGTTGACCTGCAAGGTAACCTTCAGACAAGGAGGAGGTGCTGGTGCTGGTGGGGGCAGCAAGCAAGGCTGGCTTTGATGCCCCTCCCCCCAAGGAGGGTTCAGCGCCCGTGGGATTGTAAATGAAGGTGCAGACACCCCCCACCCGCCCCTGCCCACTTGCCCAGGCCAGGGTGTACTGCTACCCCTCAGCCTGGCCAGCTCAGCCCTGCAGCCCCTCACCGTGCTGTCTTCTAGATCCACTCCGTGCACCAGCGCCGGGAGGTCCAGGGTCGGGCCAAAGACTTCGATGTACTGGTGGCAGAGCTGAAGGCCAACTCACGCAAAGGGGAGTCTCCCAAGGAGAAGAGCCCAGGGCGCAAGGAGCCTGTTCCCGAGCGCCCCCCCCAGGACACCCCTGTCCCGGCCCAGGTCCTGACCGTGGCAGCTGCTCCCAGCAGCACCTTCCCCGCTCGGGCCCAGCAGACCTACCTACACTGTGCACTGCCCAGGTACATCTGAGCTCCAGCCCGCCTCAGCCTCACCGGGGGAAATTAGCCCCTTGAAGACAGGCTGGGTGTCCTGAGCATGAGGGGAGACATGGAGTACCTGGTAGTCGGGCAAGAGCACCAGATCCCTGAGTTCCTAACGAAGCACGCCATAGTTCCCCAGCCGCTCCAAAAGGGACCAACACCCGGGATCCAAACATTTTCCCAGCTGGTTTCAACGGGCCTGCAGGAGAAAGACCAGGCTTTCTACTCCCGGAAACAGTTACTGGCTTAGAAACCCGCAGGGGCAGTTCTACTCTGCCTTATAGGGTCACTGTGAATCAGAGTGACCTTAATGGCAGTGAGTTCTCTGGGCCAGAGGCTTGCATTTGGGTAGCTGGGAGTGCCTGGGCCCTGGGTGTCCACTCCCTGGCTCTTCAAGTTCAGAGACTGCCTCACCAGAGGAGACAGAGTACTTCCTGTACCCCGGGGGCAGCTCCCAGACTGGCACCCAGCAGTGTGGCTGGCCCAGAAGGTTGTCTGGAGGAGGCCAGTCTGGGCAGGCAGAGCCCGGGAGTGAGGGGTTTGGGGAGAGAAGCCGTTGGGAGCCGTGGGCTCTGATTTTCTGTCTCTTGCTCTCAGCTCTGCTGCTCCCTCTCTCTTCTCGTGGACTGCCCTGCAGGCCACCTGCCGTGGGTTCTTGGAACAACGTGGGTTCAGGGGCACTCATGCCCACCCGGATCCCATCTCCAGTCACACCCCTTTTGGCCCTTCCAGGTCCCGGGCCTCCTCTGAGAGTGAGCTGGATGATGAAGGCCCCTTTGGGGGCGATGGGGACCCAGGTCTGTTCCCCTTCCCCCTGCCCCGGGGTGGGGCCCACGCCTCCAGCGAGGAGAGTGAGGAGGAGGGGATAGCCGACAGCCTCCACCTCCTCCCTGACTGCCATTATGCAACCCGGCCCCCTCGGCCACAGGCGGTAAGGACCTGGGGGGGTCCGGCCCTCCTGGCCCACAGGATGCGGGAGGAGATCAGATCCAGGAGGAGGCGCCCCCTACCCCACTGCGTGTGCCAGGTCCACTAACCATGTGCTGCCTCCTGCCCTCAGTTCTGCACCTTCGGGAGCCGGCTGGTGAGCCCAGGATGCTACGTGTTTAGCCGCCGGCTGGACCGGTTCTGCTCCGCGCTCAGCTCCATGCTGGAACGTCACCTCAGCTCACACATGTGGAAGTACGTCCCCAGTGCCCAGAAGTTCCCTGCCCTGGCCCCAGGCGGCACCGGGCTTCAGGAGCCCTGAGCCAGTGCTCGTGCCCAGAGGCTTTGGCTTGTGCCAGGAGTGTGGGATAGAGAGGAGCCAGGGAGACGCAGCCACAGTGAGATGTAAAACCAGGTTCTCAGTGGATCTGTAACTGTGTGTCTCCTACAGGCGGCTTCATCATGCTAACCAGAAGTCAGGCGGGGTGAACCACTCCGCTCCTCCACGAGAGGAAGATGAGGCCGTCTGTTTTTTGTTGAATTTACAGCTGAGGAAACGATGGAGTCCTTCCACCGTGTCCTACAGCCTGGAGGGGGCCGGGGTTGGGGGTGGGTGGGGGGCTTGAGTCTGTGGACTGACTCAGGAACAGTGGCTTTGGGTTTAGTTCCTTCTTGTCTTCCTCCTAACCCTCAGTTCCAGCATCTCCCAGCAGATGGCAGCAACGCTGGGGTTCAGGCTATTTCTAAGCGGGGCCGTGGACTAGTGTGTGTGGTGGGGGGAGCGCCTCATACTGACTTGGCAGTCACAATGGGGTTCCTTTTTTTTTTTTTTGGCTGCAGGAAGATCCCGCCTGCGGCTGAGCCTCCAGCCCACCTTGTCAGCTCCCCTCTGTCTGCCCCCCTGAGCCCATCCTCCATGGGCAGCTGTCCCCGCCTTCCAGGGCCACCCTCAAGACCTGCCTGCCCATCCTCTATACCCCCCACCAAGGACAGCCTTGTCCCCAGCTACCCTGCAGGTTCTCCCAGTGTGGGAGCCGCCTGCAGTCAGGCGGAGTGCATGGGCGGAAGCCAGGCCATCACCTCACCACTGCCTGCCAACACGCCTTCCCCGTCCTTCAGCAAACTCCCACCTTCTAAGGCCAGCAAGTCATCCAAAGGCAAGGACGGGGCCGAGGCAGAAGCCTCCTCTCGGAAGCGGAAGTTATCTCCTGGCCCCACCACTTTCAAACGGACCTGCATTCTGGAGCCCGCTGGAAAGGGCAAACCCTCCGGTTGCCGGGGTCTCTCTGCCAAGACTAAAACAGCCCTGGGCATGGGGCTCAATGGGACGGTGGGGCCCAGGGTGAAGCGGGCAGGGCCCCTGGACTGTCAGAGTGCCCCTCACCAGCCTCCCACACCGGTCAAGGCTTCTCAGCTGGAGAACCGGGGAGTGGCTGGACACCCAGCCAAGGGCCTGCTGACCAACTGCCTCTCTGAGGAGGAGGTCGCCAAAAAGCGGAGAAACCTGGCCACTTACTGCCGGCCCGTGAAGGCCAAGCACTGTCAGGCCGGCACCCCTGCCAACGCGGCCTGCTCTGTGCGCCGGAAGAAGCCGGGCCCAGCCCTGGCCTTTGAGGAGAAGTGCTCCACGCTGAAGGTACCAGCCCAGCTTCCTGAAGAGCCTGAGCAAGGAAGGGTCAGACTGGGCCAGGATGGGGTGCACCATGGGTAACAACACCGAGAAAGTGTGAAGGACTCATTTGTTCAGGGAAGGGGACACGGGACATTTCTGGGCCAACTTCTTTAGAGAGAGGTGGGCCAGCTCTTGGCAAAGGGACTCCCAGCTTTCGCCTAATGGGCCTTCTCCAATCCCTAGCCTTCTCCTTTGGGCGAAGGTGATGCTGCCCTTTCCCACTCTGAGTTTGATCAGAGAGCCATGGACGTTGTCCGGGGCTAGCCTTGGTCCTCACTCTAGGAACTGGAGCTACCGCTATTGTCAGAAGGAAGGGCAGCTGAGTTAGTTCCCTGAGTGCTGATGGGACGGGTTGGGGCAATGGGGTGGGGGGTGGGGGTTGTGCTCCGGTCCCTGAGCCATGGCCTAGCCTGCTGAGCAGAGCAGGTAGACCAGCCCTGCTCCTTAGTTCCACCTCTGGCCATCAGGGTAAGGAGGGGTAGAGACACATCTCGGCGTCCTCATATACATGCATGCTGCTGTCCACACGTGCACATTTGTAGATTTTCACCTGCCAGACAAGTTTTCCGGGCTTTTGGCCAAGCAGGTTTATTTGTCCCTTCTCATGGGGGCTCTGGAGTAGCACACCAAGGGCTGGCCATAGGCTTTCGCTTGAGGGGCTTAGTGCAAGTGGGGAGAGGGGACGGCCTCCTAGCTTGGGCTTGGGCTCAGGCCTGGTGTATACCAGCTCCCTGGTACCTGGATGAGCAGTAAATCTGACAGCCCAGAGCTCACGTGCAGGTGTGTATCCTCAGCTCTCCTCCCCAGGCTGCTTCTGCCAGACTGGCTTGCCCAGCCCTGCCAGGCCAGCAGGAGGAAATCACAGCCATGGTCCAGATGGTCCGTGGTTCACTGGGTCGAAGAACTGGCTGGCCCCAGCTGATCCTGTCTCTTGCCTCTTGTCTCCTGCAGTCAAAAGCCCATTAACGAGAAAGTGCCTGCCCACTGCGATGGAGCCGCCAGCACCTCCTCCCTTCCAGATCCGGGCCCCAGGCTGCTGCCGCTTTTTATAACTTTATATTATTTTTTTTAAGAAAAAAGTTCTTTAAAATACCTCAAGACTGTCTCCCTGTTCTGTTGCTGCTAAAAAATATAAAAACAGAATCAGAAAAGGAAGGGAAAAAAAAGTAACAAAATGAGTGTTCTTACTGTTCCCAACCTCAGGAGGCTGAGATAATCAGTCACCAACTCCAGTACCCGCCATGTCGGAAAAAGTCTCTTGTGCTCCTCCCGCCCCCCACCTTCCTTACCCTTCTGTTGTTGGAAGCGATGTGGGAATAACTGGGGTTTCTTATCATGGGGTAAAGGGGTGGGTTTTCTCTCCACACGGGGTGGTTAAGTGTGGCTCAGAGGGAGCAGGCTCCCCAGAATCCTCTAGTCCACAGGTCCCTTCCTTCTGGGGTAGGAGCAGACCACTGCAGCCCCTGCCACTGTGGGCCCACTCCGAAGGGAGATCTGGCAGGGTTGGGGAGGTGCACTTGAGGCTCTACTTTTCACCCTGGGAGCTGCAGCTTCCTGGCTCTCCAACACCACTCAGCTTCCCACCCTGTCTGACTGCCTGCCTGCCCCGGTTTCTTCAGCCTGTGTGCCCTGCTTACTACCAGTAGCCTCGCTTTCTCAACCTCTTCGTGAGTGAGTTGGTAAATGCCCGACCTTGATTTCTGGGGAACAGCAACGTTTGATCTCTCCCTGCCCTATGGGTTTGCCCTTAAGGATTGGGTATACCCTCTACCAGGGAGACTTCATGCTAAAATCAAACCACCTTAGTGGTTGGGAGGGCAGAGGTGGAATTTACACGGCTCCTTTAGGTGTGGAGGCAGGAGAAGGCATGTGGGAGGCTCCCCAGGGCTGAGCAACTGGGGTGGAGGTACCAGGATTGCCCAATTATTCATTTGTCATACCTGGGACACCACAGTGCAGGTGACAAAGGGACTTCTGTACCTCCTCTGGCCCTTCCGACCCAGCTCACCAGGCCCAGGGCACTCTCTTCTGTCATTATACGCTCTCATCTTCCTGTTCTCACACCGAGGAGTTTTGTTCCAATAACACGACAGTAGAGGGGCTGGCAGGGGAGACTGGAAACGCTGTGCTTCTGGAAAACTCAAAACTTGATTTCACATGCTCTATGACGTGTTCGAAGGCTGTGGGGGGGCAGGGAGGTGTTACTGTAATAAGTTACCGTAAACGTGATTTCCACAGCCCCTGTAGGCATAAAGATACGAGTGAGTTTGGCTACAGAAAGCCCAGAGTCGTCTGGTCCCCTTCTGCGAGGGGCGGGGCGCTCCCCCAGAACCTCTCACCTGGGCGGCCGCACTTCCCGCCCAGCCCCCAGGGGGCGCTGTGGGCCACGCCGCCGCACTGCCCGCGGCGTCCCCGGGGAGGAGCCTCTCTGCCGCCGCGGCCGCCTCCGCGAACGCACACCCGGAAGAGGCGCTCCGGCAGCCGGGAGTGTGAGGCCGGTCGGACGCGGCCATGCAAGCCGTGGAGGTAGGTCTGGTTCCCGCTCCAACGAGGGAGCCGAGACTGACCTGCTGGCTGCGGAGAGGCAGCGGGATCTTGGCGCACCTGGTGGCCTTGGGCTTCACCGTCTTTCTGACTGTGCTGTCCCGGCCAGGAACCAGTGAGTGTGCGAGGTGGGGCCAATGGAGGGGGCGGAGCCTAGATGCGGCGGGGCAGCGCTGGGGAGCACGGCGAGAGAGGGGAGTGGGGGACCCCATCCGTGGAGCGGCGGACCGTGGAGGGCTCGCGAGGGCGGGGTGGGGGAAGGGGCCGCCATGGAAGGGTGGAGCTTTGGAGTGTTGGAGAGGGAGGGGGCCAGGCAACCGAAAACAAACTGAACTGACCAGTTCACTGTAAAGCAGGGCTCCTGCTGGAGGATACACGTGAAGGACGGGGCCAAAACCCTTTTAGGACCGGGTCAACCTCCGAGACCTGCCACCTGGGAACCCAGGCCAGACGACTGTCTGTGGCAGGAAGGTCTATTGTTTGTTCCGCGAGAGGCACTAGGCTCCCCTTAACCTGTGGTCAGATTCGTTGGACAAGAACGGTGGTGCCAGCCATCAGCCTGTTCTCTTTGATTCTCAGGTCTTTTCTCCTGGCACCCTGTGTTCATGGCATTGGCGGTGAGTTCGGGCTTCTTTCCACCACTGATTGGTTAGTCTCTACCTCGCTTTATCCCTGGGAAACGGTCCAGCCAATCCTGGGCAGATGCGGCCTTGTTAAGACCCAGAGATGTGGGGCAAAGAGCTTGGTCTCTCTTACCCTGGAATCTGTGGGGTTGGGAAAACCCAGAGGGGTGAGACCATTGGGAAAGCACCAAGTGGTGTGAAGGGAGTGAGGTCTTGGAAGTTAACTGCTTTCTTGGCTGGGTAGACAGAGAAGGGGTATTATCCACCAACACACGCCACCACCATTACCACCAAAGCTGAAGAAAAAGGTTGAGCATTTGCTGTTCCTACTGGTCAAGAAACGGGACTCATTGTCCATGGAGGGTGGGGGGGGTGGCATCTGCTTGACCTTTTAGGACCTGGGCTCCATTGTTGATTCCCAATTGTCCCTAGCCAGGCTGGCTTGTGAAACAGGAGGTCCTAGTGGATGCTCTCGAGCCTGCCTTTGTCTCCCTGGTTTGGATGTCTGAGAGCACCTCCTTTTCCCCAGCCCTCCACCCTGACCCCACCCCCGGCAGGCCCTGCCACTCACTGGCCCTCTCCTGTGTTCACAGTTCTGCCTCTGCATGGCGGAGGCCATCCTACTCGTCTCTCCCTTGTACTCCCCGTTCTTCTTCTGTTCCCGAAAGGCTCGGATCCGTCTCCACTGGGTGGGGCAGACCCTGGCCCTCGTCTGTGCAGCCCTGGGCCTGGGCTTCATCATCTCCAGCAGGAACCGCAGTGAACTGCCCCACCTGGTGTCCTGGCACAGCTGGGTGGGAACTCTGACCCTGCTGGCCACTGGTGGCCAGGCACTGTGTGGACTCTGCCTCCTCTGCCCCCGGGCAGCCAGGGTCTCGAGGGTGGCTCGCCTCAAGCTCTACCATCTGACCTGTGGATTGGTGGTCTACCTGATGGCTACAGTCACGGTGCTTTTGGGCATGTACTCAGTGTGGTTCCAGGCCCAGATCAAAGGTGCAGCCTGGTACCTATGCCTGGCACTGCCCCTCTATCCAGCCTTGGTGATCATGCACCAGATCTCCAGCTCCTACTTGCCAAGGAAGAAAATGGAAATGTGAATTTCTCAGATTGCTGAATACAGGTGGGACACCTGCCTTGGACTTCCACGGTTCCTTTGATGACCTTCAGCGGAGCCACTTCAAAAGTGGTAGGGTTTTTGCACTTCTTGGCTGGGCCAGGTGCTACAGAATCCGGAGTGACTGTTGTGGAGGTGCCGACACTGGGCTGAAGTGGGCACATGTGTGGCATGCGAGTGGACAGTAGTGGGGAGCTTGAGCCTGAAGCCTCCATTCGTGGCTGTGGACAGTGGGGTGGTGGTGGGAGTGGAGGCCTTACTTGCATACCTCATGAAGAATTGGGTTCCTCAGCCTCAGTGGGAGCTATGGGTATTTGGGTGGTGTCTGAGAAAGCAGTGTGGCGTCATGGGGAGCCCCGAGACCTCATTCCAGGGCTTAGGCTTTGTTGTGTGACACTAAGCAAGTCACATGTCTTCGGATCTCAGGTTCCTCCTCTGTGAAATGAATGCTTCTTAACTCATGGACGAGCCCCTTTCCTCTCTAACAGCCAGTGTCTGTCCACGCACTCGACCCCGCTCTGGACCACGCGGCAGACCCAGGATGTGATTGTTACACATTCTTCCTTCTCCCTGGCCTCCCCTGGAGGGACAGTTCTGGCCTGGGGGCTTTCAGAAATCTACTGATTTGATCCCTGGACCAAAGCACAAGGGGCAGGGTGGCATTGCAGAGAGAAGGGGCCCCAATGAGGGTCTCCTGGACTCCTGAGACAGTGATGGCACTGCCGTCCCTTTAAAGCTTTTAAGGGAGCAGAAGGGCATGGGCTGGCCCACTGCCCACCCTAGTTTCCAGCCTCCCCCCACCCCCAAAACACACACACACACACTGCTGCACTCTAGGCGGAGGAGAAGAGTTCAGCTACAGCCTCCTTCAAGCCTACCTTGCAGCAGGCTCCGTTAGGCTCCTTTCCCTGATGTCGACTCCCAAGCTAAACTCTCCTGGGCATCTCGGGCCATGTCCATCGTGAGGCTCACCAGGCTCTGGCTTTAGCACAAAGCTACAGGAAGCTACTCTGAGTTCTTTAGAACAGAATTCGGACCAAGGAAATAAGGCAACACCTCTGATCCAGGGGAAACAGAGTCCTCCTGATTCCCTGGCTCCCCTTGTCATTTAAACTTTCCTCGGTTGTGACTTTAGCCTGTTCTTTGGCCCAGGAAGGGGCCAAGCTTGCAGCCAGCTGGCGATGAGGGTTGGGCTTTCTTCCCTACAGAGACCTTCCTTGTTCCAGACTGGAAGTAGCTCCCCAGACTGCCTCAGACATGAGGGCCGGGTGCCAGACTGGTTAGCTGTGATGTGGCTGCATTTGCCGGGAAGATGTCACCTTCATAGATCATGGCGGACTGAAGACAGCTGAGCCAGGAAGGCTGCTGTTGAGGCAGGTAGAGACAGCTCCTGGGAACAGCGCAGTGGAAGCTCCAGAAGGCCTGGAGTCTAGCTGCTGGAGCTTCCTTGCTTCGGGGAAGCAAGGGGTATACCTCCCCCTAAGAAAAATCATCTCCCTGCTTTCCAGTCCATGCTGACTCTTCACAACCCTATAGACAGGGTAGAACTGCCCCTCTGGGTTTCCGAGACTATAACTTTTTATGGGAACAGAAACCCCTGTCTTTCTCCTGAGGAGCAGCTGGTGGTTTCGAACTGCTGACCTTGTGGTTAGCAGCCCAGTGCATAACCACTACACCAGTAGGGCTCCCGGGAGTTCGTTGATATCAGTAATTTGGATGTACTAGGTCTGCTGAGGATTCGGGACCTCTTCCTCCTGTGACTCAGAAGCAAAGCAGTAAATCTGAGTCCACAGTACAGGAACGGGGTTGCACAGGCAGCAGTGCCCCAATTGGGCAATACTAGGCTTCTCCTGGGTTAGATAGCATCTCGGGAGCTCTATAGACTTTGAGCATCAAAACAGAGGCCCTTGCTGTACAGAGGGTGACTGCCCATCCCCCAGTGAATGCCTTTTTCTCTCTTCTCCAACTGTCTACTGTGTTCTGAACGTGGAAGGAATAGTTATGGGGGGGGGGGCGCATGGAGGAGAGCCTCCCCTAGGGCCACTCTGATCTAGGGAATTCCAGCCCCCCTGCCCCCATCACATTTCCATCAGGCCCAGTGCTGGGGGCGGGGGTGGGGGCTCGCCTGTGTACAGCAGGGTAAACAGGCCAGGTAAGGTTCACCAGCTGGTGCTGAGAACCAAGCAGCCAGCACCCTAGAGCCTGAGGTGTTGCCGCCTCCCAGGTGGTACGGGGGCTGGTGGGCGGGCGGGCGGACGGCAGGCAGGCAGGCAGGCAGGCGTGCTGACAGCCGGCAGTTTGTGTGGGCTGTGCCAGCTGATGTCTATTCCCAGCCCTGGGAGGAAGAGGGAAGTCATTTATATTTTGCAGGAAGAAGGGGTCCCTACTGTCACTCTCCTGGAGGGCAGAGGGGAAGGCCCAGGTCTTTCCCCAGCTTAGCTGTGTCTGATGGCCCAGCAGGGAGCGCATCACTAGGGCGAGCCCTGCTTTGTGGTGTGCCAGGTTGTGGGGCAACTTCTTGACCTCCCTTCTTCTCTGTCACCACCTGCCCTCACACCCTGGGGCAGCAGCTGGACAGCCATTAGAATTCAGTGCCTGGGCTCCCCCTCCAGCCCAGCGCACAGGGTCTGATCTGCAGATGTCTCCTGCTTGGATGTTTCTTCCCCTCCTGCCCAGCCCTCCATCACTTGTACTTCTCCATCTGGGAATCTTTGCTGGGCTCCCCAGCCATGAAGCGGGAGGCCTTGGGGAAGAAGCCAAGGCTGTCCTTTTGCCCTTGTCCTGTGACTCGGGGAAGCTGCTTGTCCTTAGCCAGGTCTGCTTCAGCCAGGGTGTTTAGATGGAGGAAAAGAAAAAAGTGTGGGCTTGTCATTTGCCCACATTTGCATATCAGGTTCCCCAAGTCCTGATTCAGAGTATGAGGCACTCCAGCCCAGGTGGGGTTATTATAGAATGGGATTACCATTTTCAGGTCTAGTAATCTCTAGCAAGCCCCCATCTTTCCTGTAGCCGGTGAGTGAGTGGCAGGAGCTCCCTGGCAATGTGTTCTAGCCCCCTCGCCTGGCGTCTGCAGAAACGGGTGTCAGGCTGCTGTCTGCTGCCAGCCTGTGCAGCATCCCCTGGGCAGGATACCCCTCCCCACTCCCTGACACTGACCAGTCCACTTGCTCGTCCTGTCCCCACCTTCACACCCCCATGCATAGCTGCTGTGGGTCTTGTTTTTGAAACCTCGCCATGGGAGAGCCAGGCATCCTGCCTGAGCCAGCTGGCTGCTGTGTTGAGGCCTGTTCACAGTTAATAATAATCATTAGCTGAATGGTACTGGGGCCTTTCAGCTTCAGATCTGTAAGCACTTGCAGGCTGAGTCAGCCAGCCCCCTCCTCTCTTCTTCCTGGGCTGCAGTCTAACCCAATGGGGAGGGTGTGTGGCTTGCCTTCAGCCATGCCCGAGGCGTCACTCCAGTTGTGGGCACTGAGCCCTCTGAGTAAGGAAGATGGCCTTTGCACCTGACAAGTCCAGCTGTAGGAGCCTGAACAAAGCCTGGTGCATTCGCTCAGACCAAGGGCCACTTGACTCTGGACCTGTGGTCCTCCTGTTCAACTGGTTGGCTTCCAAGGACACTGCCAGCCTGAGGCCCCAGCCCTCTTGGTGCCTTCTGAAAGCTTAGGGAACAGGAACACTTCTGTCGGGTGCCCTCCATGGCCCTCTTTCCTGGTGGCATCAATAGTCTCACTGGCCTGAGAGCTAGGCAGTCTGCTGCCTGGGTTACTAAGCTCCTGACAGGTGGCTGTGGGCAGATCACTGGTAGACCTACCTCACAGGGATGTGAGTGAGATGAATGAATGCCAACAGGCACCGAAAAATGACAAAGCATTAAACAATTGTAAACACATGGTATTGCTGTCTATTTTTCCACTCCTCGAGCCTGGCCCTGGGCTGTTGATTCTCTGGGAGGCACTGAACTGCGGGGGGAATGAGGCTTAGGGGACTGCAGTCTCAGAGAAGTAAGTGGGCACACTCACATCCTCCTCGAGGCAGAATGGGCCCTGGCCACCCCTTGCCTGCCTGGTGGCTTTGGGTGAGGAAGCTGGAGGAGAACCTGGCCCTGGGTCCGTAGCTCCCGCCCCACCTGCTGCAAATGCCCGGAGCTGCCGGTCACAAGTCAGTCTGTCTTCTTCCTAATTCTGTCCTGACCCAGGAAAGCAAGGGATGGGGGCGTGACAGTAATGGACACAGCCCTGATGCCAGGCCAGGCCCTGCAGCTGCAGAGTGGACCGAAGGTACCAAGGTTCCCAGGGGTCCACGGGTTTGCTTCCCATCCCCATTTCAGGTTCTCAGAACCACAGTCCCCTCCTGCACAAAGTACTTTATTGGATTTGAAACACACCCCGAGAAAGCAGTTCTGTTTAAATGTTTAATTAGAGGAAGGATGTTTTGCATTCCATTTGCCTGAGAATAAGCGGCAGTCCTGAAGGAGACATCCCGGCCAAGGAGCCACAGCAAGACAGAGGCCTGAATCTTTATTTTTTTAAATGGTGCCGGTTTCTGGCCGGGGATCCAGCGAGAGACACCAGTTGGGCACTGAGCAAGCAGCTTCAGCGTTCCTGACCAGCATCGGGCAGAGAGGAAGCGCAGCTGAATGAACTGGGCATTGCCCTGAAGAGTGGTGCCCATCACACGGGGCTGGGCTCTAAGGAACCCACCCCAAGCCTCCCCTTGACCCCAGCCCCGTGGCCTTCTGGGGAACAGGAGTCCCCACTTTTAACCCACATGCTATTGTGAGCAGTTACCAGATGATTTTTAACCTGTATTGATTCTTCGGTGGTACTAAAGGTCCAACTCTGTCTCCCAGAATGTCTGTGAGCAGATTCTGGGTCCCCTCAGCGCTAAGGACCGCAGGCTTGGGCCAGGCCTCCTGTGTAGGCTCTCTTGGAACCAACCTCCTGAGAAGGCAGCAGTCCTGGCCCAGCGCAGCAGCTGACAGGCACTCGGAGGCCCCACAGCAAGGTTCCATGCCCTGGTTCCACCCCCTCTGGGCCCCCGGCAGCAGCAGGCACAGGTAGGCAGGAAGGCCTTAGGCATCTCTACCACCTGACCTTTTCCAGTTACAGCCCAAAGCCAGCTGAAGGGGCTTGACTTGGAAGCTGGGTTAGCCTTCCTCTCAGCCCCGGGAGAGCAAGCATCCAACACAGGCCCATAAAGCCAGCCCTCCCCCCGCAGAGGCCTGCACCTTTTCTGCAGTGTGGATGAGTGGAGTGATGCTCCACTGGTTTCCTGGGAAACAAGGAATGGTCAAGGCTGAAAGGGAAGGAATTGAGAGATCGGATGAGACAGAGCCTAGGCTCCCTTTCCCCGTGAACTCTCACCTTTTCTGAAAGAAGAGGGTCCTATCAGTCTCTCTGCCCCTCCCAGCAGAGCACTACCTGAGAGGCACTAGGGGACAGAACCTTCTGTCAGGTCTGGGAGATAAAATTGCACATCTTGGCCAGAATCTAGGGCACACCTGGTGGTTTGGGAGGGAGGGGCTGGGGGCATGCAGCCGTCACTTCCCGGAATGATGGGTGGGGCTGCATCAGCAGTGCTCAGGCATGTGTGTGAACGTGTGCACAGGTTAGCACTCAAGTGGACAGGACTCGGGTGACTTCGCCTCACCTCCCCTGCTCTCTCACTGGGTTGTTGGTTGGCCCTGGAGTGAGCCTAAGTCGAGAGGCCTGGCCCAATCCTGGGTATCCTTAGAAAGCACTGAGAAGTAACGGAATGGGCTTGGCACAGACCGGAATAGAGGGGGAGAACTCCAAGCATCCTTCTCCAGACCTGCTCTCTTTACCAGCTTCAACCCCTCAGCCAAACTGGTGGCCCCAGCAAACACTGCTTCTGTCATTTAATTGGCTGCCAAGGTTGATTTGTCTGACGTGGCTGGTTATGAGGTACCGCCATCCCTCACCACTCTGGTGGTTTCTCCCGAGGTGAGAAAAGACAACTTTCCAGGCAGACGAAGGCTGGAAATGAGGCTTCTTTTATCCTTACACCATTTCCTCTCTCCTTTGGACTCCACCAAGACAAGTCCCTGCTGAGAATACAGAGAGCAACGAACCAGTAGCATGTGCAGTTAGGTAGAATCTAGCCCACTTTCTGGTAGGCCGTGCCTGTGGCATGAAAGTAAGGGCTGCATTCATTCCATCCCCTGCAAAGCCCTAGTGGAAGAGTAGTTACAAATTGGGTTGCTAACTGCAAGGTCAGCAGTTCAAAGCCATCAGCAGGAGGATGGCTTTCTACTCCTGTCAAGAGTTACAGTCCCAGAAACCCACAGGGGCAGTTCTGCAGGCTTGCTGTGAGCCATCATTGACGGCAGTTTCATTTTGTTCTTTGTTGCAACACCTAGGATACACGTAACTGCCAATGAATGTTAATCTGCCCCTTAAAGGAGTCTACCCGTAGCCTGAGATGGTGCGTGCTGCACTTACAGCATGAAATGTACTTGCAGTTAAAAACAATAATGGAGAAGCGAGCTGCTGCCCACTACTTTTTTTTTTTTAACCCAGTCCCAGCATTTTCCCAGAGAACAGTGAGCAGACTGGAACCATCAGACTTAATAGAACTCTGCAGGGCGGCAGCGTTGCTCACCAGGGATCCGGGAAGCCTCCATTCTCTCCAGGCTTTAGCTCTGAGGAATGCAGTGTCTAAACTCTTCACTGTCAGTCTCAGTGACATTTATTTCTAACCCCGCCCCAGAATCTTTCCAAGGAATCAGCAAATGATGGCCCCTGGGCCAACCATCCCACTGCCTGTATTTGGATTCTTAGCTCTGGAGCCAAGAATAGCTTTTACCTTTTTACAGGGCATGTTAAATTTATATGAAATTCAAATGGCCATTTCCACAAATAAAGTTTTATTGGGACCCAGCCACAGTAATTCACTACTGCAGTATTGACAGCTGCTTTCCTATTGTTGGGTGCTCCTGACTATGTTTACGATCTGGCTTGTTCAAGAAAAAGTGTGCTCTGAGCTCTTTTAATGCCTGCATGTGAAGTCTAACCAAAGCCTTAATAATATTTAAATATATTCTCTCCCTAGATAAGGGCTCTGGTGGCATCGTAGTGACCTGATGGATGACTAACCACAAGGTCAGCAGTTCGAAACCACCAGTCACTCTGCTGGAAGAAAATAAGGCTTACTATTCCCGTAAAGAGTCACAATCCCGGAAACCCCAGAAGGGGCTCTACAGTCCTATAGGGTTGCTGTGACTCGGCATCACCCCAGGGCAGTGAGTTAGCACCATGGTTGTTGTTTTCTGACAGACACGCCACACCCTTCTGAGGTACAGTGAGCCCTGCCCTTGGGCTGAAAAAATAAAAACGAGCCATAGACTTTGCCAGAGACTCAAGCCAGGTTTAATGATCGTTCTCTAGTTTCCAGAGCCCAGAGGCTCTGAGGTTTGCCAGCCTGGGTGTACACAAGTGCGAGCAACAGGGGCCTGGACACAGGGGAGCCCACTCACTTTGCCAGCAGGGCTACAGGGATGTACAAAGGTCAGAACACACAGAGACCTGGGACCCATCCGCTTTCCACCCCGTGAGGGGTGTGCCCGCTAATTCTAGCCCCTTTCTGGGAGCCCATACACACAGGCCAAAACCAAAACCAAACGAAAACCACAAATAAGTCACATAGATTGAAGAGCTCGGTCACACTCTCTCTGACACCTACATTTTCGGAGCCATGTCTGGTTCATGGGTTGGGGAGGGGAGGAAGTGATCGCTCAGCCTTCTCTTATAATCAGACCCAGCCCTCTCTCTTGGGCTTCTTCCAGTGAGCTCACATGATGCTGGTGACGTAACCCCTAGGGAACAGTTACCTCTGAGTCCTATCCACTGAGACCTGTGATGGCATGTGGCTAGCCGGCTCAGTGTCTTCCACCAGACTGCTAATTCGGGGGCCCAACCAGTGGTACCGTAAAGAGACTTAGAGCCACAGGCTCACCTTGTTCCTTACAACTGGAGAGGGCATTGGAAGAACCTGGCCCTCCAGTTCTCACAAGCTCGGCCAGCATGCCTACAGAAGCCTGCTTCATTAGCTGTGCCCCCTACAGATGTTCAGAGCCTTAACTTCAGTGGGGTCTGGAGGAGGATCTGCAGCCTGGACAGGAGACTTTCCCTGGTAAGTCTGAAGAGGAAGTCCTGTTCCTACGCCTCCAGTAGCAAAGTGCTCAGGAGTCTCCGGAACAGAACCAGCCGCCCTCCCCTTTCCAGGGCAGTTAGCACAGGAAAAGCTATGCACAGCAGCTTGGGCCTCTGCCCGCTTGCTCCTGGCCCTTCAGTGACTTAGTTCTCGTAAATTCCTACCCTGGACTTTAGGCAAAGGGAGGTTTCTGAGGGAAGAGACTGGAAGAACCAGCTATATCCTCCCACTCCTTCCAGTGGCTTCTGTCAGAGAGGCCCGAACTCCAGCCCCTGCAGAGAAGTAATTCAGTGCCATGGAGATGGGGGTGAAGTGTCAGGGCATTGAGAGATTTCAAGTACAAGTGATTGTGTATTTGGGGAGCCTGGCGTGGTAACTGTCTCTCCTACAGGCTAAGAAAACGGGGTGCGTGAAATTGTGCACGGAGGTGGAGACCACTGAGAGGGGGCATGGGCAGGGCCTGTCCTGGTGGAAGTTAAGGTGCTGCGGGCATGCATACCTGTAAGCATGCACACCTATGAGCATGCAGGTACTTGAGGGAAATGCCGCACCCTCTCTTGACCAAACGAGGTCGCTCAGGGCAGACAGCCATCTTCAGATCTAGGCACAGACAAGGGAGGGGCCGAGTTCCAGTCCACCCCCCACAATCTTAAACCTGGTCCTCTGAGCAAACACCCTTCCCCTCAGGGAATCATCCCTCTGGGAAACTAAAGAGCACGTCAGGTAAGCAGAGGCTCTGGAGAACTTCCAATGGACACAGAACGCAAGGGGGGGGGGGCGGAGAGAAGGGGGAGACTGAAAAAGACCGACATCAGAGAACAATTTCACCTTTGCCCTGCTCACCTCCGGCCAAAGCTCTGAGCAACCACCTCCCAGGGCCTAGAGAGACCTGAAAGGGAGCCCGAATCTCTACACCCAAAGTATTCTGCAACCTTGGGTGGAACGTTGGGCTCATTCTGTGGCGCTCCTCTGGCCTAACAGCCACAAGTCCAGGGGCCTCTGGCTGAGAGGGGCGGGGGTTGCGGGGGGCCCCCCACCCCCACCCCTTGGGAAAGTTTGGTGCCATTGGCTGTCTGCCACAGGATGGCCTGCAACCTTGTGGCGAGGACAGAGCGCTAATCCATGCTTCAAATTGCCATTCTGGGCAGACTGGCTTTGCAGCAGGGGCGAGAACCCTGGGAGAGAAGCAAGGCAGCTCTGGGATCCCAGGTCTGCTCTACCCCCAGCTCAGTCTAACCCAGAGGGAGCAGACTCTCTCCTTGCATAGCAGCATATTGGGGGACACTCGGAACCCCACCTAAGCTGGATGAGACTGAATGAAGAGTTAGCATACACTGGACTTCAGGTAGGTCCAGCAGGATCCTACATAGGAGAGGCTGGTTTATCCCCACCCCTCTACTGTGATGTGGCCCTCCATCCTTTGTCCCTGGTAAGCTCTCCCACAAAAGCTCTGCCTTCAGCAGTGCCTAACCTGGTCTGCCACACAGGTGCTGGGAATCAAACGCTAACCAGGGGCTTCACAGACCAGCCAGGCAATCTGCAGCCATGCCCTCCCTCCCCCGCTGCGTTCTACAAGTTTTCTGCTGGCACCTGTGCTGACATGGACCCCCTCCACCACCCCTTCAGTCCATGCTGTAGACCCTCTGTGCCATTAGGTAAAAAACCAGGCACAAATGCCACATCTCACTTTGCAGCCATGCCTGAGAGGCAACAGGCCAGGGCTTGACCCCAAGGCTGTTTGGGAAAGAGGAGGATGGTGCCGATGGGAAGTCTCACAACAACTTTGGGGAATGTTACCCACTGGGGTCTTCACCTTTCCTGAATCCTCGGCTGTAACGTCGGACTTACTGGCCAGGAAGCACGTACTAGAGCCTGTCCCTAGTGAGGCTCCTGTGGAAGGCCACCTTCCCCCTCACCCCCACCCCACAGCATCACAGGTGCAGGTGGGCAGAGATGGGGAAAAATATGACAGCCCCTCCCGAATGGTTCTCCCTTAAGGAGCTAGGGATGATCTTGAAAAAGTTTGGGGCTTTCCCTCACCCCTCCTCATTCCTACCCAGTGCAGCCACACTCCTCCTCGGTCACATTCGGAGTTGCCCGGCTTTGGGGCAGGGAGTAGCCTTTGCCTGAGGTTTAATATAACCACGTTTGAAGATGATGGCAGTTACACTCTACCTGTGACTAATTCTCTTCAGATTGTGGGGGAACCCTCTCCCTTGGGCAGCCAGCCCTCTCTTCCACCCCCTCGTATCCTTCAGGGGTGCATTACCTCTCCTGGGGCAGAATCTTCCCACCAACCCACCCTGATCACACCACAATGGGCGTATCGGAGAACACGGAGCTGACCGACTCGGGATCCGACATCCTCCGCTGGCCCTTGCCTGTCACATCGGGCACCGGCAGGGTGTTGCCTGGCTTGAGCTTGCCGTTTTGACCTTGCCCAGGTCCAGCAGGTTCCAGGAAGGCCACCCGCCGGTCAAAGCCATCATCCTTGTCCCCGCCAGCCATAGGGTCGTGGTTGGGTGTGGTACTAAGCATGGAAGAACTGAGGCTGTCTCCCTGGTGGCTGGAGGGCTTTTCGACGCCCCGACACCAGCAGCGGCAAGGGGTAAGGTACAGGTATATAAGGACCAGGACCACGCTGAGGATACAGCCCACCAGGGTGGTATAGGCTGTATTGAGGGTTTCGTGGTGTCCGTGCAAGGTGAAATTGTGCACTTTGATCTCCACAGACAGTGTCTCATTGAAAGCCTCCCCCGTGGCGTAGCAGGTATACACACCCCCATCCTCCACCTGGACATGATGGAGAACAAGGCTGCCATCTGGAGACATGCTGGCCGTCCCATTGGCCACCTCACTTAGCACCCGCTCATTGTTTGGTGTCACCCATACCTTCGTCATCCCCTGCTGCTTGGTGTCACACTGGATGGTCAACCTGTCCCCCAGGTGGGCCTCCGTGGCCTGCTCCTTGTACTCGTTGCAGTTGAGAAAGCTCATGTTGAAGACGTTGTACAGCTTCTTGGAGTTCTTGCAGTAGAGATCCTCGTGGAAGTCCGTCACCGAGCTCAGCTGCCGGTACTGCCAGTGGGAGAAGAGCTGGTACAGCTTGCAGTCGCAGTGAAGGGGGTTGTTGTGCAGGTACAGCCCGTTCTTGATCCATGCGGGCAGCTTCTGCAGGTCAGTCAAGGGCAGCATATTCAGCTTGTTGGAGGAGAGGTCCAGGAGCGTCAGCTTGGACAGCTTGGTGCCTTCCTTGACCAGCTCAAGCGGGAAGCGGGTGATCTGGTTCTGGCTCAAGTAGAGTTTCTGCAGCTGGCCCATGTCCTCGAAGGCGCTGCGGTCCACCTCGGCGATGTGGTTGTTGTAGAGCAGCAGCACCTCCAGGACCTGCAGCTCGCTGAAAAGGAACTCGTCCAGGGTGTGCAGCTGGTTGGAGGAGAGGTCTAGGTAGCGCAGCCTGGGCACCGGGGAAAAGGCCTCAGAGGAGATGAAGTTCAAGCGGTTGTGGCTCAGCAGCAGGGTGTGCAGGTGGGTCAGGCGGGTGTGCGTCCACTCAGCCCGCAGGCGGCTCAGGTTGTTGTGGCTGAGGTCCAACAGGGCCGTATAGCTGGGCAGGGCCTGGGGCACGCTGGGCAGCTGCTGCTTGGAGCAGCTGAGGATGTTGCTGGCACACAGACAGGCGGCCGGACAGCTAACCATAGGACGGCCAGCTCTGGACACCTCAAAGAGGAGCAGGAACAAGGTCAGCAGCAGGAGCCAGAGGCCTCGCAGGTCACGCTGGGGTTGCATAGTGTCGCTGGGGAGCGTGAGGCAGGCCACAAGGAAGCTCTGGAAGGGCATCACCCAGGCGTGTTCTGGCAGGGCAAGGAAGGGTTACTTTCACTACAGCCTTGCAGGGGAAAGGATGGGTTTGTGGTCTGCGGAGGGGAGGGGATGGAGTGGGGGGGAGCGCAGTGTAGGAACCCTCCCTTCCATCCTCCACCCCCCACTCTGTTCGGCTAGAACAGGAAGGACGAGCTGCTGGGTGGTCAGTTCGCGGACACTGGGCACGCAGGCCTCCTGGGTCTGGGTCCGAGCTCACAGGGTGTAGGATGGGTGTGTGCCCAGGTGTCGCAGACGGCTGGGGTCACCGGGAGCGCACGGGCCGGGCTTGGAGCGGGGTCAGCGGGGCCTAGGGGAGGAGCTGAGGGAAGGTCAACCGCGCACCAGGCCGGGTAGGTCCCCGGGGCCGGCGGGGAAGGCACCCCGCGGGGCTGCCGGACACTGCACCTGCTCGGAGAGGACGCGTCTCAGCCCATGGCGGGTCCGGGAGCTCCGTCGCGGCCTCCCGAGGCGGCGCCGCACTGGCCGGCCTGTCACGACGCCCGCC